GCAGGAAATCCTTCCTTGCAGGGTCATACTTCGCCATCAGCACCTGCTTTAACTCAGGTCATAAGAGCTTCACAATGTTCTCTAGTACTAGGTCGTCTCTTCAACCTGCCACAGTTGACACTGCTGTGAGGTATAAGTAATGTTCTGTCCGTGATCTGGATTCTCCTTTTATAGTAAAATCTTTGTAGCTTGGGCTGTTGATATCTTCCATGCAAAAGCCTTGGTGAGTTGGTCAATGGCATGACCAAATGAAGGGTTTTCATTCCACCATTGATGGATTCTTCTCTCGAAGTAATCGGCTGCTGTGCCCTTTAGTTTGCTTCCTAGCAACATCAACCTTGATTTCCTCTGGCCATTCAAAGCCAGAGAGAGTGACAGCGATGTTGGCCTCTCTCACGAATTGCAAAGTTCAGAGCTCAAAGCCGGATCCGAATTACATGGACTTTTCAATATGTTGGATGAAGTTGGCATTCAAGGGGTTCATAACTGGTTACTCTTTGTCGATAACCAAGCAGCTATAGTACAATTGAAAGTTGAATGTTCGACATATAAACTCAAGCATGTCGATATACGCTATAAATATGTACAAGAACATATCAGAGACGGAATGATTGAGGTGAAATACGTACAGAGTAAAGAAATGAAAGCGGATTTGATGGCAAAGGCTTTGTCGGCGACTAAACTTGGAGAGCTCCGCGCGCTTCGTGGTTTTGTAGACGATGTACAGCACACCGAGGGAGTTTACTCAGGTAAAGACTTAACTTGTTTCCAACAAGTTAAGTCTTTATCTGAGTAAACCAGAAGGAGTTATGAAACTCCCAACCATTTGCATAATTGCATAGCTAAAAGCAGAATACATTCACTTGGAAACTTACCTTCAAACCACCAGGTCCTTCCCTCCTATCTGTCATTCACAGCATTTTGCGCAGAAGTAGCGTATCGGGCCACCGATTTAGTTCAACAGTTGATGTATTCGCGTCATCTCGACTACGAGATGTCGCATGTCACGGTGATGATGTTGCAGATCAATAAGACGATATGTGCAGCGTACGGGTTGGACACAATACTAGATGCGCCGCTAAAAGACTAAAAACACAGACATCGCATTATCGATGCGTGCATTGCACACCTGCACTGCAATGACTTATTTTGGACACACTGCATTACAACCTGGTCCCTCAAGACATCCAGCGTCTGAAGTGCCTCGCGACGAAGACCTCAAGGACAGAATACAGTGCGAGGCACATGATACCGCTTTTATCGATAACCTCGGATAATAAAGCTGTACATTTTGAAAGAGCTAAGTATTGGAGATCATACGTTTTTGATCATGAAAGCACATATGTGCGCAGTTTAAGACTTGGTTGACGTGTTATTTTGCCCCGCATATAGTCACTGCAAAAATATCAATGGTGTTATCCTCTTTGTATCACGAAGCAAATGCAGACATAACTAGACCTCCTTCGCCAACTGGAATCTGACGTAGTTTTATGAGGGTTGAGTGTCTACTCTTGCGTGGTCTGTACCTCTCAGCCGAGAACGAAAGGCGCAGATGATGTAATACTCCCACCGATGAAAAATCTGCAAGTAAGGCGGAGCTACCTCTACCTTTAGCTTCTCATTGCCGAGACTCATCGCCGCTAGCGTTGACAGAGTATTCTCTTCCAGCCCTTTTACTCCTCTTGCGGCACAGACGTTATGCTTTACATTGAAGGAGACACTTACCGCTTCAAAGAAAATAGTGGAGTGGATGAGGTAGGTCTCAATACAAGCCGCATCAGCTTTCAGACCTTCATGAAGATGGTAGTCATATGAATGACAGAGTCCCAAATGCTATTGTGGCGATCGGATTTCTCACCTCCTGTACATAATTCGTCAATAATTGCTACTCTTGACCCGTCGACGCGAACATCGAGCGCACCAGATACCTCAGGCTTGGCGGTACGTATACTCGCAATATCAGTCGATTCAAATGGCTCAACTAGCGACAAATATTAATTCTCGCGCACGACGCCTTAGCTTGAAGATCGAGATCGTCCGCCTGAAGCAAGGGCGGATTCATGGACGTCCCAATTTACTTCATCCGAACGGGGTGACTTTTCGTCTTATTGATGAAAAGCCTGGAATTGAGTATCAGCGTTCTCGCGTTGGATGCCATCTCTCCTCTAACGATGCTCTGTTGTGGAGATACTGAACGTGCCTCATAAACTTATTATCAAAGATGGTGAGCACTTAAGGTGAGCGATTACCGCTTCTGGTCCTTCGCCTGCCAATTTCCAGATTCCATCAGGACATCTAAGCTTGTCTATCGTCTCGAGGACAGAACACGATCATTTCATGTTTCATTCTCGTAAGGGATACTATAAGTTTGTGTCTTGGTCGTGGGACTTACTACAAGTGCTAAAAAAACAACGGAATTGCCGTGTACTGTGCACTGAGACATGTACGATTCTCAGCATACGGGTTTACGAACGCACAGATATTGGTTTCGCGCGTCTACCAGAAGAAGAATTGAGGGTCTCTTGAGTTAGAAGCACTATTGGGTGAAAATTACATTAATATGAAATTTATTTATTTCATAAAAAAATATGTTATGTACCTTTTACTATTTTAGATAATAAAAGTCGCGCTTTTCTGTCCTGCGGCTTGGTACCTCGACCCCTCTTGAGTTTTGTTATCAGCATTAAGCTCAGTATCCTAGAACTCATGGACATCTGCAAATACACCAAGTGCATTGCAATCGTAACATTTGTATTAAGTAAAATTTTCACCAGCCATATCGAGCTTAAGTATACACCTTTTAGGTACTTGCCGCGGCCAACGCATATGACGTTCAAGAGATTATAATCGTCTCTCGCTTATAAATGCGCAGTGCACTACTCAAACTATATGCGCTAAAGACGTCGTATACGACAGCAGGGTTGGGACCTTATTGGCTGAGACGAAGAATTAACATAGAATGCTAGAAGTATCGAAGACTTCCATTTTAATTTTCTTGAATCTCCACAGGCGATAGTCCACGATCGATTTGGTGAATAAGAATTATTTGTGTATTCGAGCCGTCGTACACCCAATTATATTTCTTATAAACGTGCCAGTACCAAAGGAGTTTCGTACACCAGCGCTCATCCTCGCGCGTCGCCTCCTAGTATGGAGATCGCGCATGCGATGCGCTCTGTTTGGAGCCTATTCGAATGATTTGCCGTCCCAAATCATCTCATTCAGAGATAGAGTGTCTTCGCTCCCGCCAATATAGGGCTGGGTGCTTTGTTTATCCGGTCTGAGTAGTTCGGAATCCGTGTAGAGATATGACGACAAAAATAACGTATTGACCTAAAAAACTCCCAAGGCGAAAGCCAAGGTATTGAATTGGGACTCCAACAGTCTCTGTGTTCGCTCTCGTAATTGAACACCTCGGCTGCCTCATCAAGTATATTCTGAATTCCATCGGTCGTGGGAGGCGCTGATCCAAACAGCTCGTTAAGATATGGGAGCACGTGAGGAGAGAAGACTCCCAATGCGAATTATGCTCGGAAGAAGATGCACTCTCCGGTAAAGTAGTCGGTGAATAATTTTTGATGGTTGTGCACTATCATAAAATTATGAAACCAGTACAGTAAAAATGTTGTTTGGGGGCAGTGAAACAGGATATATACCGTGTTGTGGTGCAAGATCACCTAACACGATTGTTCCTCGAACTTTGGTGGACGTATCAAACCACAGTATTGTGACTTATCTTGCCTTATCGAATGTTTTTTATCTAATCTTATTTTATCTTATTTTATCTTATTTTATCTTA